AGAGGGAGAATGAGCAGGGGAGGGGCAGCGACAGGAGAGAGAATTCCAAGCAGGCTTTGTGCTCCACGCTGAGTACAACATGGGGCTCATTCTCAACGATGATGAGATCATATCCTGAGCCAAAAATCAAGAATCGGACACTTAATTGACTGAGCCACCCAGGTGCCTGGAAGATCCTGCACTTTTCACTTGCTACTCTCTTGCTACTCTTAAAGAGGTAGAAACATTGTTACTTAAGATAATTCTTAATTATGGTTTTTTTTCCCCACAGGTGTAGATTTGGAAAATGGTACTTGTACTCATCCTTTAATTCCTGGTAAAGCCTCTCCTCTTTTACCTGCAAATCATGTGACCATGACAAAAGGAACAGGGTTGGTTCACACAGCCCCAGCCCATGGTATGGAAGATTACAGTGTAGCTTCTCAACACAACCTGTCCACGGTACTTTTCCTCTTTTCTTTCCTTTTTAATTGTTGCTTTTGTAGAATTAAAGTGATAAATCCTAATTAACATCTTTATGTTTTGGGGATAAGCAATCGTTTTTGTCAAAATTAAGTTGTGAAATGCTCGGGTTTGTTCAGTACCCTAATGCCTCGTTAATTCATACTAATTGAGAAAGATTTTGGAGAATTAACACAAAATCAGCACAGAATTAGAATTGAAAAATACGTATTAAATGGGGAGAATTTTTTCTCTTTCTGTTTGAAAGAGCAGTTTGTTTTTAAACAGTCCTCCTTAAGTTTATGTTATACATGTCAGTTACTTAGGGAGTTTTTTCCTTTAGTTAAAAGTGAGTCCCAAAGTCAGCACAATATATGTACATTACAATTGATCTGGACATTAATAGAGACCAAGTTAAAGGTATTTTTAGTATATTTAACTTTTTAAAAAACTATTTTATTTTTCATCATCAAAAGTGTACTCTTTAATCCCCACCCCTATTTCCTCCATCCCCTCCTCCCCCCTCCCCTCTGGTAACCATCAGTTTGTTCTCAGTAGTTAAGAGTCTGTTTCTTGGTGTCTCTCTCTCTTTTTGCCTTTTGTTTGTTTCTTAGATTCCACATATGAGTGAGATCATATGGTATTTGTCTTTTTTGACTGACTTATTTTGCTTAGCATTATACTCTAGATACATCCGTGTTGTTATAAAATTCTAAATAGCAGATTTCATTCTTTTGTAGTGATAATATTCCAGTGTGTGTGTGTGTGTGTGTGTGTGTGTGTGTGTTATTGACTGTGTGTGCACTGGGCTACACCCAGAGCTCCTGGAATTCCGTGTTTTTTGAGAAGTTTTGAGGTAAATGCTCCATTAGTGTGATTACCAGATTATAGGGTAGTTCTGTTTAACATTTTGAGAGCCCCACCACTGTTTCGTGGCTGCACAGGTTTGCATTTCTGGCACAATGCACGGCCTCTTTCTCCTGTCTTTGCCAACACCCATATTTTGTACGTTTTGATTTTAGCCATTCTGATAGTTATTACGATGATACCTCTTTGTAGTTTTTGATTTGCATTTCCCTGATATTCAGGAGTGATGTTAGACATCTTTCCTTAATCTCTTTTTGGCCATCTGGATGTCCCTACTGGAGAAATATCATTCGTGTCTTCTGCCCATTTTTAATTGGATTACTGCGGTGTTAGGTTTTATAAGTTCTTCATATATTTTGGATACTAACCCTTTATCAGATATGTCATTTTTACCAGTGCCTTATCCCATTTGGTATTTTGCCGTTAGTTTTTTTGGTTGTTTCCTTCTCTGTGAAGAACTTTTATTTTGGAGTATGATCCCCATATGGTTTATTTTTTGCTTTTGTTTCCCTTGGACCTCTCTAGAAAAAAGTTGCTTGGTCGGTATCCAGGAGGTGACTGCCTATGTTCTCTTAAAGTTTTTTTTATAGTTCAGGGTCTTGCAGGTCTTTCAGTC